ATAGTGGAAGGGCACCGGTGGTGGGAGGCCTCATTAGGGAAAGCCCCTCGGTTTAAGAATGGCTTTGGTTTAAGAATGGACTTCCGGAACGGATTAAGTTCATAAACCGAGGTGCCACTGTATTAGAATTAGCAAGACCCTGGTTAGTGTCGCCATGCCCTCCTGCTTGGAAGTAGGCCTTTAAATTGCAGATTGGTTCACAAGGGGCCTATGCTCATTCACAATTGGATCCTGGGTGAGGCAGCAGACCTGTAATGTATTACTGAAACCTGGGTGGGCAACACTGGGCAGATTCAATCTGACTCAGCTGTGCCTACCTGAGTATTTGGGTTTAGCACCAACACAGGCTGGAGGGAGACATCTCTACTTCTACCCTGCAGGCTAACTTTGACAGATGAGTAAAGCTCCCATCATCTCTTACCACAGTCTATTCTGCCCAAAGCATCCAGAGGGCACCAGTTTTGGGGAAAGCTGACCTAAGGAGTATGGTATATTCCCTGATTCCCAAAATCAAATATATATACGGTCACAACGAGCACATTCACACAAATTATTCACACAATTAAACCCAGAGTAACTTAGTGAATGGTCAAAATCTTGCTGCGATATTAAAGGTTTAATTAGAGACAGACTATGGATCTGTTTTCTTCCCAGAGTAATCAGTTGCAGGAAAAATTGCTTGCACTGCAGGTGCACTGAAGGCACTGAACATCTGAGACTCCCTGCTGTACCACACAGATCGACAATTTCTCCTGCAATAATGGGACGCAAAAAAATAAAATAAAAAAATTCTAGCTCTTCTAAATCTTCCCCTCAACTAGGATAATCGAAATTAAAATCTAGCCTCCAAGCAAATAATTTATAACCATTTAAAGGCAAATGTGGGAGTGAAGGAGAAATCAAGGAAACAAGCAGAGTGTCAGTGCCATTAACAATTTTTGTAGCAGAGAGTCTGCAAAGATTACAATTTAAGGAAGGGGCACCAGTGGCATACCTGTAAGCACCCTCTGCTTAACAAACCTTTATCTTCACCAACTGTCACCCTAACACGTAAAAATAAAATACCTTAATGGATATCAAATGCGATTTAGCAACATTGTGTTTTTAAATACCAGTGTGTAAAACAATAACAATTAACTAGCACTCAGTTTTTCAATGAAATAAAACAAGTATATTTTTGTTACTCCATGGCCACAAATGAAATGCACCTAGTCTGGCCAGAAAATGACACCTTGCCTCTAATTTCTAAATAGCTTCCAAGGGACTGAGGTTAGAGACAGAATGATGTCAGTTTGCTTCTTTGGAGCACACTGCCCAAATTTTTAAATGGAAAGTCTGCCCCTGCTTTCAGTTACATTCATTATGTTGCGGCTGCTTAACTATCTAATCTCTACTTCACACTTTCTTTTTATCATAATCACTTTTAGTAACAATTCAAAGGCCTCCAGATATTGCTATCCAACTGGGTTATTAAAGCACACTAGCTATTGTTTTGGCCATGAACTTACCCCACTTTTTCCCCAATTTATAGAAACCAAGTGTCATTCCATTCCCATCCCATGTCCCTCTAGGCCCTTCAGGTTCACAACCCTATCAGGCACTCCCACTAAATCTCCCTGAGTTAGACTCTGGCTGCTGCACCATAAACCACTGTATCCTCTTTCTGTGACAGTGATGACTGGGAGAGTAAAGGTAAAGGTAAAGGTACCCCTGACCTTAGGTCCAGTCGCGGATGACTCTGGGGTTGCGCCACTCATCTCGCTCTATAGGTCGAGGGAGCTGATGTTTTGTCCACAGACAGCTTCCAGGTCATGTGGCCAGCATGACTAAGCCGCTTCTGGCGAACCAGAGCAGCGCACAGAAACACTGTTTACCTTCCTGCCAGAGCGGTACCTATTTATAAACTTGCACTTGACGTGCTTTCAAATTGCTAGGTGGGCAGGACCTGGGACCAACAACTGGAGCTCACCCCATCGTGAGGATTTGAACAGCCGACCTTCTGATTGTGTGATTTAGACCACAGTGCCACCCGCGTCTGGGAGGGTAACAGTAGACAAACAGAGCATCTCAAGAACACTGGGACTGTTCTTCGGGGGGGGCACTCCTTTCATGCACCCTCCTACCCCACCCCAAAAGAATTTAAAGGAGGTCTGAATAATAACCTGTCTCTGGCTGCCTTTACAAAATACATAAACATACACAAAACATAAAATTGATCAGTGCATGGAATTTTTTTGCAGGAAAAGATAAATGATACTGCCACTCCAGTCTGTCAGTTAAAAGTTCAGAAGCTTGTTACTAAACTATCAGTGAAATCTGGACATTTTATTGTTAAACTGTTATGTTGACTGTGGTTTGGCTGAGAAAACACAGCAGATTAGCCTGAACTGAGCCCAAGACAACTGCCAAATCCTCTATCCAGTAGCAGATGGTGCAAGAACTTTAGGAAGCCTTAAAAACAGGAACAGTAAACATTTTTTTAATCTGGAGGCTACAGTTCCCATTTGAAAAACCGGCCAGTGGGCTGCACCACACGTGCACCCGCTGTGCGTCATGCACATATGGTGGAATAAAAAATAAATCAGAAAGTGAAAATACATGCAAGAGCCACTTTAAACTCTTTCCTGCTAAAAATGCCACTTTAAACTCTGGCAATCATATGATACACAAGAAAAAAACAGTGTCAGTACTAGGTGCCACACATTTTTAGCAAGGAGGTGCTCCATCTTCATTTCCTACTGTCCCATGCAATTATAGTCCCATGCATTTATACTTAATGATAAAAAATCAAAGTAGTTACAGTTGATGAACCGTAATTTTTCCAACTGTTTTGATTGTTTGGCAATTTTTGTTGTGTTTCAGGCACCAAGCCATAGGGATCCCCTGTCCTGTGGCTGCTGGTGCAAGGGATCTTGTTGGAGCATTGCTTTTCTCTCACATAGGCTAGGGCATTTCAGGAATAACTGTATTCTGTCCACAGCTTCTGATTCGCAATTCTATCTTGATTTCTCTTTATCATTACTTATGTCTGTCTAACCTGTTAGGTACGGATTCACAGATTTCCATATAAAAATGTTACGCCTCGCACAGGGGAATGTCAACAGCCTTTCAAAGGTCTCTGTAATAATTTGCTGTTTGTTTGGGTGTGTGTTTTTTAGACAATAAAGGGAGGTATTACCTGTCTGCATCCACCGTCACATCATGAACCCCTCTTTGAATAACATCTCGGGAGGCTGCTATGTCTGGAATTCGGTTCAAGCTTCTTGTATACAGGTTGAGTCCTCCATCTGTCATGTAACTGAAAATAAAAATATATAATTTTAATCATGAGAAAATGCCACCAGCTGGTGCTACCTATTTATATATAGCACTGTCAATGCAGCGCTGTGGCAGAGTGAAAGAAAGAGATGAAGTTTCTGATCTGCAGAATTTAAACTCTAAAGAAGGTTTTTACCAATTTCATCAAGGTGAACCTTACTAAGAACCAAACGAGATGTGAAGTGGTAGCTCTGTGTACAGGACATCTCGTGATAACAGCAGTCAGCACAAAAGGGAAGAGCTATAACTCAGCAGTACAGCACATGCATTGTTTACAGAAAGCTCCAAGGTCTAAATCCTGGCAAAAGGATCAGGCAGAAAGATTCTTTTCTGTCCAATGCCCTCAAGTGCCACTGCTTGTTAGAGTAGATAACACTGGCATAGTTGGACAACCATTCTGGCCTAGCAGCTTCTCCCTTCCAGAATACTTATTTATGCTTCCCAGCAATTAAGTGGGTGCTTAACCATCTCCCACTGTATTGATTTTCTTATTAAAGGCACACCTCCACAGCTGCTATTTGTTCCATGACAAAAACCATACGGGTACCTGTATCATACATGGTGAAACCTCCTACACCATCACTGTTGTCCATATTTGAAGTGTCCCCTTCCAAAGCTGTCATGCCTAGTTTGCCCCTACGTCAGGAGAACAACTGCTTGAATTTTGTTGTAGCAAGGGAAGGAAGGAAGGACTGAGGAGGAGTTCCTACCTTGCAGATAAGGAATAGAGTAACACAGAGAACGGTAAACTGGTGTTACAGTAAACATACCCAAAAGTATCTATAAACATCGAACTGCAGATCTCTACAAAGGAAGCAGCCATACAGAACCACGGTAACTAGGAATGGATTGAGTTGTTTACTTGTCAGGTGGTACAGTCCTCTCACATGGAAAAGCACTTGACAGGAGACGCTTCCATGTGAAATGCGCTTGTCAAAATTTGCCGCCTCAGGCTTGAAAACTCTCCTTCCATCTAAGTCAGTTTTGCTGGGGATGCAGTTATTCGACAGAAATGCTACAATATGACCAATTCCTATGTGAAAGCTGAGTTGGCCAACTCTGTGAGAATCTCAGTGAAGCAAATGAATGATGAAAGGGGGGACGGGGTGGAGTATACCCTGGAGTGCCTACTAATTCACTTAGTCCTGGTAAAGACAGATATCAGAAAAGTGAAAGTGGAGGACCATAAAAGTGCCTTAATCTTTCTTTTATTATGATATACAGTGGTACCTCGGGTTAAGAACTTAATTCGTTCTGGAGGTCTGTTCTTAACCTGAAACTGTTCTTAACCTGAAGCACCACTTTAGCTAATGGGGGCCTCCTGCTGCCGCTGCGCCGCTGCTGCATGATTTCTGTTCTCATCCTGAAGCAAAGTTCTTAACCCGAGGTAATATTTCTGGGTTAGCGGAGCCTGAAACCTGAAACGTATGTAACCTAAAGCGTATGTAACCCCAGGTACCACTGTATACACACAGCTGCCAACAACCAAAAGAAGGACTGACACACTAACTATACTGGTGCACACCTCCTGGACTAATTAAGGCCTATTCTTTATAGGATACAGGCAGGAGAAGGACTTCAGTGATAAGACCATATGTTCACCATCTCAGGTTCAATCCATTACAAGTTCAGACAAGGTTGTCATAGAATCAGAGCTGGAAGGGACCACAAAGGAATCATTTTGCCCAACACAGCCATCGAACCCACGACCATGAGGTTAAGAGTCTCATACTCTACCAACTGAGCTATCCCGCAGGAGGCCAAGGACTCTTGTCCAAAATCCATGGAAAGGTGCTCTATGTGGGTTTAAACTCTTTCCCATGTAAGTGGTCCACCTGTATATACTGTATATACTGTCACACCAGTGACAAACGGCATGGATGAGTGTGCTGCTTACTAAATTTTTGTCAGTATTTAAATGCAACATGGTGCACACATAACACTTTCATGGGGAGGGGGCTTTATCTATGGCCCGCATCCTATGCATATCTGGCCTCAATCATAAAATAAAGAGTCAAGAAAGCACCACATTCACCTAGACAGGCCAGCTTCATGCACCAGATAGAGATGACCTGCTTGAGAAACTGATGCGAGCTTGGTGACCACAGAATGATTATAATAATGGGAAGCTTACCTTGCTATTATTTTGATATCATCTTATTTTGGTATGTATTGTTATCTGAATTGCTTCTTAGGGGCAATTTCTTTATTAGTCATTTTCAGAAAGTCTTATGAATGAAATGGGGGCCGGTTTCCACACCAACCTATGGTATTTGAACTCTGAAGTCATATCTGTAGGCACTGGAACCACTTATGGATGTGATCTTGCACCCAGAAAGACAAACATGAATGTTGCTTTCCATTGGATACAAGATGGTGTATATTGTGTGATGCCTTCTTCCAGGGGGGGGGGGAGGGGACTCGATTGCAGCCTTCATTCCTAAGCTAAGAAAATGGAGGAGAAGACTTCAAGACTCAAGACTTCAATGCATTTTGATTCTTACATGGTAGTGCATAAGTGAAGAGGCTGAACCTCACAAAAAATAGGCCCCTCTTCCATTAATTCCTAATTACTGCTGGATTCTCATCCCCAAGTGTTTAAAGTAATTAAAGTGGGAATGAAAGAGGAAAGAGAGATAAGACTTGACATGCCTGAATGCAGCATGAATTTTCAGTGCTTATTATTCATTTTTTGCTCTTTATTCTAACGCAGAAATGGTACTTAAAAAATATTCTGGCCAAGAGCGCTGCTGCTTGCTACTATTTACCAAGTCATTCTCATTACGGATGTCAAAAGAGACAACTTAATTTATTCTCTAAGGTGATAAACTAATTAATACATATTTAGTCAAGCAGTACAAAAACTGTTAATCGGTATATGTCACAAGCAAAATATTCAAGGAAAAATTAGAAAGTCTCACACTACTTTGAATGCTTTCACATGAGTCATTAAGTTGCATAGATGCACAAAGTTTCTTATACTAGATAGTGGCTGGATTTCAGGTGAGTGCAATCTGCTTTTTTCTCATTTTTGAACCAGACTTCCAGGGTCCATCAGTCAGGACCAACCAGAAAATGTAAAAACAATTCTGGAGTATGACACTTGAAGAAACTTTCAGAGCTCAATTCTATGCATGCTTACACAGAAATCAGTGGCACCAAATTCCATGGAACTCTCAAATCAGTGAGCAATCAGACATACAGCTCTATCCCAAGCAGATTTACTTGGAAATAAGCACCACTTCCTTGAATGGATCACACTTCCTCTTAGGAACACAGCCTTAGTTTCAGACATGGAGACTGAAATTCTCTAATTCTGATTTCAGTCTTTCATACTTTGAAAGGCAGACACACTCAACAACCTGACCATGGTATTCAACGCCAGCTGCAGCTTCCTGATCAGACCCAAAGGAAGTCCTATATAGCGCACATTACAGTAGTCCAGCTGTGAGGACACCAAGACATGAACTGCAGTGGTCAAGCTATTCTTGTCCAGGAAAGGGTGTAGTTGGCATACCAACCTAAGATAATGGGCAGTCGTTCGCACAGAGTTTTCCTGAGTCTCTCATAGCAAGAATGGACCTAGGGGCACCTCCAAACTTGTCCCTTCAGAGAGATTGCAACCTTGCCCAGAAATGAAGAATTCCCTAACTCCTGAATATGGGAACCCATCAAATTGCAAGCAGTACTGAAATTCAGAAGTGCCCCAAAGCAGTCCCTACTAGATAAAGTTAATAAATGATACCTTCCCATCTCTTGAGGTTATTCCTGTGGTCAGATATAAAATGCACAACCGATAAACTCCAAAAAAGCTTATTTCTCAATGGAATGAATCTGACAGGTAGGTATTGAAATTTCACACCACGCCTGTAAGAAACAGGTTTTTGTTTGCCCCCATTTAAAACACGTCTGCCATCTACCGACTGGAACAAAATAAACCTAGAGGGAATGGTGTGCACAACAAAACGAAAACTTTGTTTGTAATCTCTTTCTCATTTAATTATCATTCATTCCAATGTGCTAAGATCATTATAGCACACACATTCCTTCTGTTTTTTGGCCACTACTAAAACAAGGAACACATCTACCATTAATATTAAGAAGAGGATCGAATTCAGTCTTACACATTTTTTGACTCACAAAACCAAACACCTGTCAAGAATGGGGGACCAGAATTGTTTTTACAGGGGCAGATTGACCAGATGCCCCACCACAAGGGTGATGCTAAACTTTTAGGCCCAGATTTTTAAGCCATACATTGGGAGCTGGGGCAAGATAAGATACCCCAAGATTGGTGGCAAACGAATTTCCCTGAAGCATTTTTGTTTCCAGGGGGCTGGCCCAACCTAGCCTCAGACACATCAATAACAAGAGATGGCTGAGCGTTTTTCATTCTCTCTCTGCCTCTCCTTTCTCCATGACTTTAAAAAGACAAAAGAAAGATGGTGCATACCTTAGGGAGCATCACTATAATATCTATTTTGGGGGCCAACCCACCCAGAAAATACGTTTCAAATCATATGGTGCTTATAGTGGTCACATCAAACAAGAAGAGCATTGTGTGTTATGTGAGGGTCTGGGGAAGCAAACACTTACCCGCTGTTGATGTCATCAGCACGGAGGCTCTTCCCAAGAATGTCCCCATCACTCATGTATCCTCCGACATCAACATCAGAGGAAATGTCCAGATCGCTACTTCCTTTTTCACTCATGTCTATCTGGGGTATGTTCCCAAGGCGAGAAACAGCTGCACGGCGAAGAGGCGTGGTATACATGAACCGAGAAGGGTCAGTATGGATAAAGCGACTAGCACCACTGCGAGGATACCCTCCACCCAGGGAAGGAGCATCGCCTGCCTGGAGACGAGGACTAGCTTGTCCAAGCCTCCAGGTCACTGGAGAGGATCGGCTTGTCAAGCCTGGGATACTTCGCCCATTCACTTCGGTTGTCACAGTACTGTCAAATGTTGTCTCCAATGTGCTGTGAAGCAAAACAAAAACTGATGAACTGTGCTTTCTATACTTCTGAGCATAGGGAGGGGAGAGACAGTAAAAGTCAAAGCACAGAACAAAAATGAAGTTTATATTTAAGGCCATCACAGTCTGATGCGTTCATTTTCCTACAAGAACAAATCCTTTATTCAACACTTTCAAAGAAAGGATACTTTTTTGTTTCATCATTTTACTGCAGGTGGATTTTGAGAAGAAAGCAAGTGAATAAGTGTGGAAAATTAAAATGCAACATCTCAGTGGAAAATGAGGGTCTTTCATACACAACATACAGTGGTACCTCGGGTTAAGTACTTAATTCATTCCGAAGGTCTGTTCTTAGCCTGAAGCACCACTTTAGCTAATGGGGCCTCCTGCTGCTGCCGCGCCACCGGAGCACGATTTCTGTTCTCATCCTGAAGCAAAGTTCTTAACCCGAGGTACTATTTCTGGGTTAGCGGAGTCTGTAACCTGAAGCGTATGTAACCTGAAGCATATGTAACCTGAGGTACCACTGTATACAGAAGTTGCAGCTAATCTCATGGTGGCATTTTAGACAGCTTATCCATTTTTAGCATTTCGGCTGTAAATGAAAATGTTTTGTGGTTTAGATGGACAGTGGCCTTGACTGGATAATCCCAGTTTCTGATCTGTCCCATATCTTTCTTTCCTGCCAATCTGTCATTACTGCTGTACTGTTGCATCTCTCAATATCCATAGGACATATGTTCATTTAGCATATGACCTATACTCGCAAAATCCAACATACACGGGCCCATTTTGTGCAATTAGTATTTAGAAAAATATATGAGAGAATTGTCTACATGGTTTGGGTCTATGTCTGTTGGATTTTACACATATAGGACCTGTTAAAACTAATTCACTGAATTAGGGCATAGAGTTTGGAAGAAGAACATGAAAGCCCCACCACGAAAGTGGTGTGTGTGTGTGTGTTCAACTCATCAGGAGGAAGGGTCATAGTTCAGAAGTAGAACACATATTCTGATGCAGAAAGTCTTGGGTTCTCCAGACAGGACTTGGACAGACCCGTTGCTGAAACCTTGAAAAGTTCAGGTGTAGACAATACTGAGCTAGAAGGACCAGGGTCTGACTTGATAAAAGGGAGAGTCCTCGGTACTTAAATCCCAGGATAAAGAGAGATGGGGGAAGAATGACAGGTGAGTAGGGAGCAAAGGTGTGCTCTTGCTCCTCTCTGTGAGCGTGGGCTGAATTGCGTATTGACAGGCATTGCCCAATGTGACACATTTCATTCATGGAATTTAAGGAGACTGCTACGTAACTGGATAGCACTGGCAATAAGAAAACTGGCAAAAATGAAACTGGGTGCACATCTTCAAGGTTTCTCCTTGCAAAACCCACACACTTTCTGCTTCAACCCGTATATATTTAACCAATTGTGAAATAGTACCTGTGGCTTATTTGAGTTCCCCTAAGGCTCGACATAGTTTCTTCCAAGTTCTGCCTCAGATCTGCTATATTCTTTACAGTTCTCATTCTTCTAGCTTCAGGATCTTCCCCTGCAACAAAACAGTATATATAGCTAACAATATACTGCACATGCAAAAATATCAGAAGAGATCATCATCATTCCAATAACATATCTCTGAATCTTCTCTAATATGAAACAGACAATGACTTCTAGCATGCAAAGTTATTTCATAACAGCAAATTAGCTGATGCTCTGTATGGGGGCAGGGTGGGGGTGGCAAAAAAACAACAGCAGAGGTGCCTGTACTCACACCTTGAGAAAGT